AATATTCCTCAACTGATGAGTGGATAATGAAAAGGTGGTTCATTTATACGATGAAGTTCTAATCAGTAGTAAAGAAAGATGAAATCATGGAATTTGCAGGTAAATGGGTGGAACTAGAAACTATTATACTAATTGAGGTAACAGAGACTTAGAAAAAAAATCGATGTATGTTCTCCCTCATATGTGGATTCTAGAACCAAACCCTGATAAGTGAGTATGTATCCAGACATAACTACAGGAACCAGGATAATGGAAAGGAACCAGGGAGGTAAAGGAAAAGAAAGAACCTGAAAGAGAAGAACAGTAGGAAACAGGCCTTAATAAGGGAGCTGTGGATAAAAATTGGGTTAGTTTAAGGGAGCGGGGAGGGAAGGGTATACCAGGAACCTAGGGGATAAAGGGAAAGAAGGAACTCGAGAGGTAGGACAGTAGGAGAAGGGTATTATTAAGGGAGAAGGGGGGAAATGGGGAAACCTTAGTTGGGGAAACCATGATGGAGGGGTCAGAAAATGCGAGAGATAAATAATGCCTACCTGGTTTTAAAAACTAGAGGGAATCATATTAGTCCAACAACCTACTGACAAATTATACATAACAGATCAAGAAATATATCTCTAGATAAGGTTTATTTGAGACCAACTGGTCATTACCCAAGATTTATCTGCATGACACACAGTAATTAAAAATGCCAGAATGGTGGAACTAACCTTCTTGGATGTTTAACAGACATACTTTGAGGCCTATACTAATTTGGTCAGAGGGACATAAAGGACAGTTTTTGCTCCTTGCTCTCCTAGGTCAACTAGTTCCAGGGGACTATGAGCATCTCTCAAAATGTCCTGTAACTGTCGTGAGTCACTTGTCCTCTTGATCAAGGAGGCTGTGGAGACCCCACCAGATGGACTTGAATCAGTGTCCAGTTGACAAAGAGGAGGGTCAACACAGAGGAACTATTTCCTCCATGCTTCCAAGTGAAGCCATCCATGGTAGAGAAGGACCTTTGACTTATCTTCACATAGGCAGAACTGGTAAAAGAAAGATATATATATATATATGAACTATATGATTCAGCAATCCTTCTGTGTATATATCTACAATAATTGAAAGCAGGATCTCAGAGACATTTTCACACTTATGTTCATAAGAACAAGACTGACAATAGTTAAGAGACAAATGCAACCTGAATGTCCAAAGTGTGGACAAAATGTGGTCTACCTATACAATGAAATATTATTCAGGTTTAAAAAGGAATAAATTTGGCTGGGCATAGTGGCAAACACCTTTAATACCAGCACTTGGGAAGCAGAGGCAGGTGGATCTCTGCGAGTTTGAGGCCAGCCTGGTTACATAGTGCAATCCAGGCCAGGTGGGGCCAAAGGGAGACCTTGTCTCAAAAAGAAAGGAAAAAATTTCTGGTTCATAGAACAATGGGGACGAACCTTAATTGTACTGTGCTAAGTCAAATAAGGCAGGCATAAAAGACAAACGCTGTATTATTATCCTTATAGGAGGTATATAAATAGCTCAATTCTTAGAAAGAATGATGGCTACCAGAGGCTTGAGGGAGGGGAATGCAGACAGTTGTGTAATAGTTACACACAAGAGATTGAAAAGGTTCTAGAGATCTGTTCCATAACAGGGAGACCATATTTAGCACTACAGAACCACAAGCTTACAAATCATCAAGA